CCTCTCAAGGTACACTTCATGGAAGCTCGTCCGACCTGGCCCTCTGTCCCCACCTGTCCTCATGTCAGTCCTCAGTCCGAACAATCACAACGGAACAACGGGAAAAAGGCATAAGCACTATCTGATACGAATAATGGTACTCAACCCATGTTATCCCCTCTCAATCTGCCACAAATCATGGTGCTCGAACCATGTTATCTCCTCTCTATCTGCCACAAATAATGGTACTCGAACCATGTTATCTCTTCTTAGTCTGCAACAAATCATGGTACTCGAACCATGTTATATCTTCTCAATCTGCTACAAATCATGGTACTCGAACCATGCTATCTCCTCTCAATCTACTACTTAGAACCTCTAGAATTCTCCATGTTTCAAGTATGGGTCCTCTGCTTTCAATAGTACGGACCCATACTACCTGCCACATCTACCCACACTTTCCACATGGATCCTCCTAGATTTTCTAAGTAGTTGCTCAACCTCCTCAATCACCAATCCCGTCACACATGTTCGCTCCCCAGTGAAATACTCTCCTCTATCACCGTACTTATCCGACTAAGTTCACTCCCTAGGCTCTTCCTAGGTTCTCACACTTCTCTGCCACCAGCTGCTGAAGAACTCCTCATGATGCCAACCATCTACCTCCTGAATATTGTCATAATCACTTAGTATGTGTCTCCCATCATCAAAAGTTCCACAAATCACAAAGCAAGCAACATTCGGGCATCGAATCGCCTCCACCAACACATAAAACCAATTGGCACACAACTCCACTTGCTCGATGCACAAATATAAAAGGCATCACCAAACTCAGACAACCCTATCTCTCGTGGGTATCTCACTACTCTCTCAGAAGATTCCTCAAATGCTCATCTAGGTATCTCTCCTAGATTATCTCATAACTCATAACTCCCACTCTAAGTAATTCCTGCTAGATACTCTTACTCAACATATACTCAAGGCACATAACAAATAGCAACAACTCCTAGGCTAAGGCATCACAAATCAGGCAACTCTAGCCCTAAAATATGAAATGCATAGCCTATCCTCTAGCTTACATAAATAATAATTCATAAGTATCTCATAACACCAAAGTAAGAGTATTTTGGGAAATCACAGTTCGGGCTTTGGCTGGTTGTACACACCGTTCCAACTCATTTTCTCTTAAAACTCTTTCTTATTTTAGAAAAACCATTTTTTTTGAAAATTTTTCTCAAATCCTCAGTTTGAGTTCAGAAACACCCGGAGGTGCATCCGAATCCCTCAAACCAAGGCTTTGATACCAACTTGTAACATCGTAAATTTTCAAACAAAATTTTCATTTTAAAACACATGTCACATTCCTTCCAAAAATCACAAATATCAATTTATCAACACATTTTAAAAGTTTTTTATCGCAAATCTAGGATCCTCAAACATGACTCTTTTCTCTCGTGTGTACAATCAACCCGGCGCCTTTCCACGATCCTAATAAGAACCTGGAACATATAACATACAACACGGTAAGCACGAAGCTTAGTGAGTTCCCCAAAATACCACATAAAATTGATTAGCCACTCGAGGCTATAAATCTGTAAGACACTCCGATCAATGTGTCTTAGTGGGACCCTCCAGACCTACAACTCTGATGGACCCTCCGGTCCTAACTCTGTGGACTCTCAGGTCCTAACTCTATGGACCATCTGGTCCTAACTTTGTAACTCATAACAATACATGGCATAAATCACATAATGCAGGATATCACAGTACTTAAATAAACACATAAGACCCTTCGGTCACACACAACTCATATTACCACTCTAGGTATGTATAGTGAGAAGACTCACCTTGTAGGCAAGTGAGCAAATAACCTTGTACTCGAATCTCGAACAAGCCTCCGTCTAACACAAAGGATGAATATCTCTAATTAATACTTATTTCAAGACTATAATAAACCGAAGGCTATTCTTTCTCTCTTTAACTCTTGAAGTGGATAAAATACCATTTTACCTCTCCATGGTCTCCATTACTCATGTTTGACCAAACCCTAAAGTCAACAGAAGTCAAACTCGAGTCAACAGTTAATGTTTGAACCAACTTACTGAGTTCACCTATGTGACTCATCGAGTCCACTCATTTCCTTAGAAGTCTCATGAAGGTCCAGCTCAGCTCGTCAAGTTGACCCCCAACTTGTTGAGTTATTGCATGATCAAGCTCATTAAGACAAACCCTCACCGACTCATCAAGTCGACTCATCGACTCGGCAAGTCAATTCAAACTCATTCCTCATTCAGTAGATTCAAAGTAGATCCACTACTCCAAACACTAGATCTAGCATTCCAAGAATCAATTGTCACGTAAAGCTTCAATATTTATGTTCATGCATGGTAATTTTACTCCAACATACCAATACATCCTCTCACAAGGTGTTAAGCACAATAACCCTCATATGGATGAATAAAGTTAGGACCATCAAACTCTAAGGACCACACAAGGTCCAAATCTGAGGTCTAAACCCCATGATAACTCTATATGCTCAAAGTCCCAACAAAAGGTGGTAGAAACCCTAATATTCCATAATAATGAGATCTAGGCAAATAAATGAGGAAGGTGCAAGCTTTTCCCTCCCACTAAAGCCCTTGCATGATGATACACTAGATCCAACCGATTTTCTTGCTTCCTTGTTGGATAATCTCCTCTTCTCCTTAAAGATGCGCTAGGCTATTCAAAGTTTAGCTTCTAAGACTCTCTTAGCTTACTACACACATTTAGGGTTTTACACATGAAGGTTAGGCAGATGTTGAGTAAAAAATGTGGGCATAAGTTCTCTTATATAGTCCCCAACCCTAGGAAATTTGGATTTCACTAAACAGCACCAACTCGGCGAGTCGACTCTCTCACTCGTCGAGTCCATTCATTAATCTCATGCGGTCAACTTGACTCTACTCGACGCGTTGGACTCACAACTCGTCAAGTCACTCAATAAATCTCAAAATTAAACACACAAATAATATACCTGGGAGTTCGGACATTACAGAAGTTGATCAACTAGACCATTTGTTTTTTACGTGTAAGGTGATGCACCATCGGGCCTGTCTTCCATCTTTCACCCTTGGATTAGTTTTACCCAAGAAAATAGATTGACCTAAAGAATACAAACAAACCTTAAGCTAGTTTTCTGGAATGAGATCCTGAATAATGCTCTAATGGTTAAGTTAGAGAAAGGCTATATTATCGTTCGATTATAGGGGTAGAGAGTTAAACAGGTGAGATAAGATGACTTTTGTGTACGTACCTCCTTGACAAGTCGGATTACCTATTTATAGCGAAGGAGGAAGAGGTAATGAGTTCTTCCCTTATCAACCCTGTCATGCCATCTAATCGCATTTATGGCATTATGATCAAAGGTACGACTAGTTGTATTTTGTTTGCCGTTACACAGCTGTCATATAGCTATGCCAAGATCCGTCAGCCACAAATCCTCTTACAGTCTATATTCTCATGGTTTTAATGCAAGATTGCTACTGTTTCGACGTCACTTTGTACTTTCCCGTTGGCCTTTCTTTTCTGTTTGATTCTTCGTGCCATTTTGGTATATAGGTGGAAACGTCGAGACATATGGGGCAGGTGACTTCGAGTGACCTTGCAACATGCTGGTTTGGTATATTTGGGAAGGATATAGATATTTCTAGACTATATCCTATTAAGACCCCCCAATTTGTATCTCTATGTAATCGGTGGAGTAGGGATACAAACTTTGGAAGGAACGACGTTATAGCCGTTGTAATTGGATAATGGCTAAAAAATCCTGAATTAACTCCGACATGACGTGCTGACGGTTATGCTAGTCCTCATGATGATCCATATAGCCGTCTTTTCAGCTAATTTTTCGTTAATAGGGGTACAATACCCATCAACCTAATTATTTACCCGTTAATCCTCATATGTTCTAGACTTACTAAATATTTAGTACTGAATATCTCAATTAGACTCATTCTCCTTTTTCTGCCACACTTTTCTCTCATCTCCTTTTTCTTTTCTGAATATGGAGAGCACCAGGATTTCTCATATTGGGACGGTAAAATCCAAGTTAATTATTTAGACTATGGGTATGCTCGTTGAAAAGTATGAAATTGACTCAAAATTCCATCCCCGTCTGTCTGAGGCCACTGATGCCATTATTGACGCCTCTTAAGGTTTTGTCGTGGTTTACTAAGTGTTTTTCAAATCCGGGTTGTGGCTTTTTGCTTTAAATTTTTCTAAAGACTGTTATGGATATTATGGTCAGCATATCACCCAAATAACTCCTAACAACTTTTGCAAGATCCTTTGCTTCACCCTGTTATGCATCACTCTAGATGTGTTGCTGACCATCAACCTATTTCGTTATTTCTACATTCCAACGTCCAACGGATATTAGGTTTCTTTCTCTCTTCTCCATGGTTTGGTGGAAATTTGTGACGGTCTTCCAACCTCCATAAAGTATTGGAAGGAGGAGTTCTTTTTCATTCATGCCTCTGGTTTCTCAGGCTCTATGGTGTACGGTGCTACCACTGACAGGGCCACTGAACCCTTCCCTAAGTAATTATCCGACGAGCAACTGATAATGGTTAATTTATCAGACAATTTCGTTCGATGGGTAGATCCCGACGAAGTGATGTTGGGTATGGCTGGAATGAGTCCATGTTGGAACCATTTAGGTAAGAAGTCGGTGGAGATGTTAGAGGGAAAAGACGTAACCCTTCTTGACTGACTTCATCGAAGACGGATTGCGAACTCCGCCTTAGTGACAGAGAAGGTGATAGTTCCGCATTCCCCGACTAGGTCAGATTCTAGCATGGACTCTGACTTAGACATTTCTCGAGCAGAGGATTCTACACTATTCCTTGTACCCTTCACTCGAAGAGTGCGAAATTGGAGTTTGATTTTGGCAAGCCTTATATGGTGTTTACGAGGGCTGCATCAAAAGGGTTCATCCTAAAGAAGCGTTCAAAGAGTGCTCAAGATGATCAACTGATTGGATGTCCCCTCCTAAACGGAAGCGCTCTGGTCGGGAATTGAAAAGTCGAAGACTGAATGATCTATCTGATCCTCCGGCTTCTGATGTTGTAAGCTCTAAGCGTGACTCGGAAGATCCTACTTCTGTTGTTTTTCATGAATATCCAATTGAGCCGGAAAGCGAGATAAAATGCGTGGAAGATGATGCGGAGGTGCCTCACTCTGTCAAACCAGAATCGGAGATCATTACTAGAGGCCTCCCGGAGAAGATCCATGAGGATCCCCCTTTGGAGAAAGAAGACCCCAAGAGTCTGTCTGTTGCGGATGTGTTTCAACAAAAGCTCTTGGGGTCCAGACTTGGTTGCTTTATGGTATCAACTACTGACTCCTTGATAGTTATTACTATTCTCATTCCCCTCAATACCATAACTGGGAATGAAGAGCCTATGGAAATAGAATCTGTAGATATGGAAGTTAGTATCATGAATCCTCCCCCCTCGACAGGCCGTATGTTCCCTTTCTCCTTATGTTGATGTTTGCTTTTTGTGTGTTTTAGATTTTTGTTGTGATTTACTTGCTTGTTGATTGTGCAACTAGTGTTATTATAGGAAAGGAGGCCATGATTCCAACACTATTCACTCTTGCTGCTCCACTTCCTTTATTCCAACATCCTTTTATTGTCACAAGTGTTCCCAATAGCCCTTTTGAGACAGGGGTTGCATCTGATGAAGAAGCATTAGATAAGGCTCGATCATGTTTAATAGAGGGATTGCACCTGTTTAACGAAGTGTCTGCACATGCAAGGGCATGTACAGAGCATCTTTCTTAGCATCAAATCATGTTTGAGGAAGCTTTGGAAGGGTTGAAGCGACTTCAGACCCTTCACGAGCAATCGGAAGAAGAAACTAAGGGTTTTGAGGGAAGAGGTAGTCGTTTTGTCAAGGAGAAACCAAAGTTTGATGAGAGATTTGAGTCAAGTCATCGGTCAGCAGGGGGAATTGAAAAGGTTGAATCAAGAGCTGCAACTAAAATTGGATGATGCTCTGAGCCGACGTGTATCTACCATCAAAGAACTCGAGGGTATCTCTCAGCAGTACCATTCATTGAATTTGCAATATACAGAGAAGGTTTCTCAGTTGAAAATTGCCTACTCTAGCAAAGATCTGAGTATTAAATTGCTAGAGGATGAGTTAGCCACAACAAAGCTCCTGATGTTGGAGAAAGATGCCCGAATTGCCACCTTGAGTGACTCACAACTTCTGATGGAGCAGAATACAACAAGTTTCCAGACGGGAGCATATCAAAAGGCTGAGGAGCTACAATGAGTCATAAAGGAAGGAATCCCCACCTTTGTTCGGATATTGTTGGATCAAAAAGACTTTGGTGTCGTAAATGCCGCCTTGCAAACATCCTCTATTCAGCTTTGCCTCCATCAAGCTTGTGTGGAAATGAAAGAAAGGTACCCTAAGGAGCTAAAAGTTAAAAATGTTTTGTACTCATACCCAGATGCGCAGCGTCAAATTATGGAACATTTTTCTGAACTGACAACATACAATTACTTGTTAGTGTCTGCTCTGGGGAGTGAGGAGATGGATGTTGGTGGTTTGAAGAAATTGTTGAAGGTTGTGGATTCGTCTGGGGCAGATGAAGTTGGATCAAGCTAGGGGTCGAGAATTGTGTTTGTTTTCCTTATGATTTGAACTTTTGAACTTGCAAGCATAACATTTATTTTTCCAACGTTGTGGGGTAGTTTTTTGTTATCTTATAATGACACTTTGCAAAATGACAATGTGATCGTCTTCTATTTTCATGAATACTTTTTCTTCTTACCTATGTAATTGTAAGAGTTATTTGTGATTTTGATTATTCTTCTATCAGTAATGGTTGGCATCTAATTTCGTATTGACTAAAGCATTCATCAGAACTTGAAATTCTCCATCCGTTAACTCAGATGCTACACTTAGTATATTGCTCGAACCATTGGGTTTGAACTTAAGGTTCGAGTAATTGGAATATCGAGCCATAAGTTGAAAGCTTATGGTGATGTTTGTAAGTTGTTGGAACCATTAGGTTTGTACCTAAGGTCCGGGTAATAAGAACATCAAGCCATGATTTGGAGGATTATGGCGATGTTTGTAAATTGCTCGAACCATTAGGTATGAACCTAAGGTTGGAGTAATAAGAACATCGAGCCATAATTTGGAGGATTACAACAATGTTTATAAGTCGCTCGAACCATTACGTCTAAACCTAAGGTTCGCGTAATAAGAACATTAAGCCATAATTTTTAATATAATGGTGATGTTTATAAGTTGCTCGAACCATTAGGTCCGAGCCTAAGGTTCGAGTAATAAGAACATCGAGCCATAACTTGGAGGATTATGGAGATGTTTGTAAATTTGCTCGAACTATAAGGTCTGAGCTTAAGGTTCGAGTAATAAGAACACCGAGCCATAATTTGGAGGATTATGGCAATGCTTGTAAGTTGCTCGAACCATTAGGTTTGAGCCTAAGGTTTGATTAATAAGAACATCGAGCCTTAATTTGGACGAATGGCGATGTTTTTAAGTTGCTAGAACCATTAGGTCTGAGTCTAAGGTTCGAGTAATAACAACATTGAGCCATAATTTTGAGGATTATGGTGATGTTTGTAAGTTGCTCGAACCATTAGGTCTACGCCTAAGGTTCGAGTAATAAGAACATCAAGCCATAATTGGAGGATTATGGCGATGTTTGTAAGTTGCTCGAACCATTAGATCTAAGCCTAAGGTTCAAGTAATAAGAACATCGAGCCATAATTTGGAGGATTATGGCAATTTTTGTAAGTTGCTCAAACCATTAGTTCTGAGCCTAAGGTTCGAGTAATAAGAACATCGAGCCATAATTTGGAGGATTATGGCGATGTTTGTAAGTTTCTCGAACCATTAGGTCTAAGCCTAAGGATCGAGTAATAAGAAAATTGAGCCATAATTTGGAGCATTATGGCGATGTTTGTAGGATATAGACTTGACTATTCATAATCGAGAGAATTGAAAGGAATGAAAGATATCATTTTGGATTAAGTAATCGAATTACATCAAAAAGAACAGTAAAAGTTATGAATTCTAAAATGCCTTCGACGCATGATTCCTTTCCTTACTATTATTTTTCATACCACTTTCAAAAGTGGAATTTACGGAGATTGCGGATGTTCCATATTCATGGTAAGCGTGTCCCATCCAATGTTTCTAGAACATAAGCTCTACTATGTCGAACTTCGATCACTCGATATGACCCTTCCCAGTTTGGACCCAGTTTTCCAATAAGCTCTTGCCTGCTTGCTTCATTCTTGCTTAGAACCAAATCACCTACTTTACATGATGATTTCTTTACCCTAGCGTTATAGTATCGCTCCAACAGTGCATTATAACTATCTTTTCGTATAGTCGCTTCTTCCTGCTTCTCCTTTAATTGGTCTAGATTTATCCGAAGGTTCGCTGTGTTTGATTGTGCCTGTAGATTGTTGGCTCGCGTGGTCTGAATCATTACTTCGATAGGAATTATTGTTGTTGTTCCATACACCAGACGGAAGCGGGTTTCTTTGTTTGGTGTCTACACCATGGTTCGGTATGACCATAACATGTGTTGTAACTCATCAGCCCAATTCCCTTTGGCTTTTCCTAGCCTCTTTTTAATCATTTTAACTAAAGTTCTATTCCTCACTTCTACCTGACCGTTTGGCTTGTTGGTAAGCTACTGAGGTGAAATTCTGCTGAATCCCCTTTTCTTGGCACTATTTCTTGAATGGATTCTTGGCGAACTGTTTTCCATTGTCGCTTATGATGGTGTAGGGTAGACCGAAACGACAAACAATTTGTCTCCATACAAATTTGAAAATTCTTTCGCCGGTTCTCAATGCAACTTCCTCAGCTTCAACCCATTTGGTAAAATAATCTATTTCCACGATAAGGAATTTAAGCTTTTCCTGGTGCTTCAGGGAAAGGACCAACAATGTCAATTACCCATTGGAGGAATGACCATAGGCTTGTGATGTTGATCATATCTTGTGGTGGTAACCCTGGTACATTCGCATGTATCTAGTAGTCGTGACACTTCTTGATGAATGCTTCTATGTCGCGAGTCATGGAAGCCCAAAAATATCCTGCCCGGAGGATCTTCAGGGTGGTTGCTCGTGACCCTCCATGCACTCCACAAATTCCCGAGTGTACTTCTTTCATTGCTACTTCCGCTTCATTACTTGTGAAACATTTTCAAACATGGGGTAGACTAACCTCTCCTGTACAGCCGATCTTCATACATGGTATAATTTGGAGCATTAATTCATATCTTCCTTGCTTCTTTCACATCCTCTGACAATATGTATTTTATTAGAAAAAGGACGTAGGGTGTCATCCATGAGGCTTCCTCCTCTAATGTCATCGCTTCCCTCTACAGCTCATCAATGCTCTCTTTTTGGCAACACCTCTACTAGGATGGTCTTTGACAAGCGATTGAATACTATTGAGGCAAGTTTGCATAAAGCGTCTACTTCTTTGTTCTTTGATCATGGAACCTGTTTGATTTCGAATGTTTTAAACTTCGCGATCCTGTTTGTGTTTGAGCCACGTACTTTTGGATGTGCGCTTTTTTTGGCTTCATAAGTTCCATTAATTTGGTTGACCACCAACATCGAGTCACCGAACACTTCAATATGCGAGATGTATTGGATAAGGTGTCTAAGTCCATAACTATATTTTGTATGTACTTGAGCCGATTTGGCATGGTCCATTTGGGTTTCATGGCATCGTAACAATTGGATAGACAAAATGAGAAAAGGGACACTTGTGATTTGTTAATATATTATAAGCTCTAACATGTTAATATGAAATCATATTATTTAATTAGTATTGATCAAGAATTAATTTGGAATTAATTTAGTGATCAAAAGAGACTAATTAAATATATGGGGATTGATTTGGTAAGTCATTCATTCTTATATAGTGGGCTTATGATCCATGACTTACTAGATTGGGCTAGGACCCATAGGGTGCTCCATGGATGCTCCATGGAGGTTAAAACCCATGGATCATGGAGGAAATGAAAATTCAGGCACATTAGGGTTTGCATGGTGTAACCCTACATGTGACACACTATATAAAGAACCTCATAGTAAGGAAAATGGGCCAATAAGACAAAAAGGAGAGGGCTAGCCGATTTTGTGCTCAAGTGTTCTTCTCTCAAGTTATTCCAAGAGTTGTGTTGTGTGAAGCATTTTAGGCATCACATTTGGGTTGTTAGGCTCACAAGGTCTTAAGGAATCCAAGCTACAAAAAGGTATGTCATTCTACTAAATTTTGTAATACATATACCCCATGATATGTTAGTTATGATGAAAACCTTTGAAAATGAATGTTTGCATGTATAATAGAGAAAACATAGATCCAAGGTTTCTAGGGTTACATATACACCATAGGAGTGTTAAAATGCTCAACACCCATCAGTGGTATCAGAGCGTAGGCTTGTTTTCAATTATACTTGATGAAAATTGCTAGAAAAAATTGAAATTGTGCTTACTGATCAGTGGACTTGCCAATTACATGGGGGGACTCAAAGAGTCCAAGTGAAAACTTATCCTACTCGTCGAGTAGGTTCTTGCACTCTGCGAGTAGGAGGCCCTGTGTGCAGAATTTCGAGTTTTGTTGCTAGAAATGGACGAGAATCATTACCCTAAACTATTTTGGACTTGTAAAATCTGTTTTTTATGTGGTAATGATTATGCTAATCCATTTTCAAAGGTTATTTTCAAAGTTTCAAGTTTTATATGTTTTTATGTGATTCTTGAAAATTTTTGATATGAATGTTCATGCTTATGAGTTTTGGTAGATCATAGGAATTATTTGCAAATTGTTTGTTAGTGTAATTATTGATCTAAATGCCAATTAATGAACTCTATAACTTGTCCTCAAGTTTTGGAATTCCAAAAGTCTTTTCTTTAAAACCATTAAGACTCATAAGTTATAGAAATGAAAAGTTTTGAATAGTTTCAAAACTTTCCATCAAGTTTTGGAATTTGTAAAGTCACTTTAGAAAACTTTAATTCGAAGCCCTGGAATTTTAAAAGTTTAAAATTCAACCCTTATACTATTATTGTATTATAAGTTAATAATATATATATATATATATATATATATATATATATATATAAGATCAATTCAGTTTTACCATTAGTAGGCCTCATTCACAAAGCCGGTCTATATGGGAGTATAAGGTTGTTGCCTACAAAATGTCAGCTTAATGGGTGTCCACTCTCACCCACCGCTTCCTTGACTGGTGGAGGCTCGTTAAC